GTCAAACTCATAAAGTCAATCTTTTTATCATATGATATCTATAATAATTTAGATAAATATACAGACTACAATATTTGAAATTGTATCTTTATTTCTGCTTTATTTAAAGCTTCAGAATATCATAAATTTTAGTTTAAGATCAATTTGATACCATTTGGATAGAGAAACATAAATAGGTAATAAATATAAGATGCCCATTCATCGCATTTTTTCAAGGCTCATGAATTTTGATTCTCTAACCTCAATTCTTTGAAATGTGCATTGGGGCCCCAGAAATTGGTGTCCCTAGTGCCAGCACTACGCATGGGCGGACCAGGCGATTGCCAAAGGCCTCGCAAGACTTAGCCTGATGGGGAAAAAATTATTAAAAAAATGAAAATGAGATTAGAACTTGACAAAATTGTTATTGGAATTTGTATGTCACAGTACAGTTTATAAAATTTTCAATTAATTTTTTACCTTAAATACTTAATTATAGTTGTTACTTATAAGTGCTCTATGAAATGAATCAAATGCCGCTAGCATTAAAATAGGTTCCACTGTAATTAATATTTATTATTTCATGTATTTAATAACAACTGATTTTATTGAGCACTAACTAATAACAACCCTTTCTTTTAGCATTTTAAGCTCCCCATGGAAATTGTATTACTTTATCACTAAATACATTTACTTAAAACTATTATTAGGAATATAATTCCATATACTTTTTCTTGCATAAATGTTGTATTTTTGTTAATTGTTGAAATAAAATAAGTTTCTTTATACAACTTTCACATTTTTAATTTTTTCAGGGGGGGGTCTATGTTTCAGCATTGCCCTGGGACCAAAATTATCTAGCTCTGGCACTGGGGGTCCCAATGCACATTTTAATACAAAATATCTTTTCTTTCTGTGTGTTGCTTGTGTTCCTGTGTGTTGAAAAAAGAGTTGTTAAATTACAAGCAATTGAACAAGAAAATTAACAGCAGTGGAAAAATACATTCAGGATGCTCACACTCCTCCTTTGTCTTAATCATAGTTTATTTAAAAAACATTTGCAATTAAAAAATGTTATTTGTGTATAGGAGAAGATTTTTATGCCCTAAAATATCTGGAAATATGCTTTTTAAAATATGTATTTATGACCTAAAAATTCTGAATTATGTACTTTAATATGGAATTAAAATTAACAATATTTCATATTCTGTATAAGTCTTACTTGATAAAATTTCTGGGGAAGAATGCTTGAATGAAAATAAAAAGATATATTTTTGTACAAACATAATATAATGTACTTCACTTTTTGGGAGAAATAATTGAAATAAATATTCTCCTTAATGAAGTACATTGTATGTTTTGTTGCATTTCTCCTGTGTAGTTTAAAAAAATATGATATAAAGAAATATTCTTCTTTGGCACAAATCTTATTATCCAGAGAAAAGAAAAATTGCAATTACATAATGTCCATGAATTTTCATCTTACAATTTCACTTCATTTGTACAATTTCAGTGGTGCATTTCAGTATGTTAAAAAACCAAATGCATATTGTCAAGCATGCCCTGTGGCAATTTTCCTGCCAACAGGATCTTGGACAATGAAAAGTTTGTTTCCTTTGCTCTTGCTGCACCATTTCTACATTGTGGTAAGCTCTTTCTAATCAATGAATGCTCACAAATAAATAGGTTCTATGAAAGGTGAAAGGTTCTGGAGATAAGTCTCTATTTTAACAAAATGTACAAAATATGCACTTATAATTACACAAATATGCACCAGCAGGAAAAAAACGCCACATTGTAGTTTACATATTTTCATACTAAAAACAAGATAAGGTAAGAAGTGTCTTTCAATGCAATGTAGTCAATATATTTTCTCACCACCATATAACTCTCCACTACTATAAAAAAAGATAAGCTTGCCAGTTGTTATCAAAATATTGACTTGACACCATGAAACGAGCCTAATCTTGGTGTGTTAGGCCTTCTGTTTTATTTTTGAGCATATTATATAAGTTAGAGAAAATCTGTAATAAAAAGGTTATTTTAAAAATTAATACATTTTATCAGCAACAACTTAAAATGTGATGACAAAATATAAAATGTTTTGTAGTGATCATGTCATAGGATGTAACATTTTCTATTGTGAAAACTACATTTTCTCTATTATTTATATAATTTAATATCTTTAATTTGTCATATCTTTGATGTATGTTCAGGAAGGTGAAAAATAGATGAATAATGCACTTCAAATGAAACTGAAATGAAATTCAGAGTTAATGCTTTTAATCTTGAATTAGTTGTTACTATATGCTCAGGTTTTCTTGATATTCCACAGCAGGGAGTGTGGGGAAAGAAGAGTTGAGGCTAAGTGATGGCTTAAAAGGGTGTACTGCCAGTTGGCATGAACTTGTCCCACCAAAACATGGCACAAGAAATACTACAGTTATTGTGAAGGTACCAGGTGGTTGCCAGCATTGTAAATTGATATGTGTTGTTCCAAATTGAACCTAAGTATCTCAATGGGCCATACAATTCAATGCTGGGCAAAGTCTAGAAAGCTACATCATCAAGAAAACTTGTGGGAGCAATACATTTTATTTGCTATTAATCGAGAGCAATACTACGCAGTGTTTCAAATTAGTTAAACAATGTTGTGTTTCCTGTAATGACAAAATCTGGGCAACTTTGCTCAGAGCGATTGAGCTTCTATATTTTTATTGAAGATTTTCCCGCCACACCAAGGTTTTTCCAATCCAACAACTTATAATTGTATTGCATTTGATTGCAAGTTATTTTTTTCCTCACATTCCTCTCTGTTCATGCAATTTTATTTTGTAATCTTTTACTTTCTAATATTTTTTTTTAATGAAAAAAGATTTTTAAAGCAGTTAATTAGCAAATGCATACCTATTTGAACTCTAAACATTTCTGTGTTTCAGCCATTCTTTTCAGTCTTTGTCAGGAATTGACCTAAAATAATTAAAAATGTCATTATACAATTCAGTATCTCACCAAGAAATATAATTTAAACAGTTGAATTCATATCAAAAGCTATTTTTCATCATTACATTTTCTTGCCAGTGAATATGGCAAAGAGTAAACAATTATGTTCAATGTATTTGTACTATTAATTGTATACTTTTTAAGTTTTCGTTCACTCTCCTTTTTAGATTTTGATTCACATTCTCCAACCATCTTTCCTTTCCCCTTCTGGTTCCCATTCCAAAATAACCTTTGGGATTCTTCTTTCTATCATTCTTTTAATGTGGCTTAACCAATTTTTATTTTTCTCTCTTTTATAATTTTAATTACATTCTTCTCCATCTTCATCCTTTCATTTAGAACTGAATTTCTAATTTTCTTTTTCTTGATACCATAGCCAATCACCTTTCTAAAGTCCATTTCCATAACTCTCAGTTTGTGGCTTTGTTTTTCAGAAAACATTTGTCTCTGCACCTTATAAGAGAACTTTCTACAATTGATTTAAAATTCATAGTTTTCATTTTATGTATAATATTTGTACTTCATAACTATCAATTTAATGTACCTAATGCTCTCCTTGCTTGACATTTTCTACTTTCAACTTCATGTAATCTGAATCATCATTATCTTGGGCTATTACTGCTTGGCCATGTGCAAATAGTCATTAAAAATAATGCTGTTCAGTACTACATAAGAAGTAGGTGAGAAAGTAATGAAATTTGTGATAGGTAGATCTATTATTCCACATTTTGTTCTATTATGTAAAGCTATATCTATGTTAATTTTAAATAATGTCAAAGACATGCAAAAAACCTTGTAGTTATCATTCACTTGTGATGAAAGGTTTGGATAATTTTGACACTAATATCCCAACATATTTCTCAAATAAAGCTTTGTATAGATTCACTGTAATTAGTTCTTTTTGTCTTCCCATAACAGGTTCACTATTACATGTCAACTTTGTGTATGTGAAGATTAACACAATCTTCAATTAAACCTTTGGAATTCAATTATGATTTATTTATTACACTCAGTTTCTGTTACTCCAAATACAAGTCAGGTCGTTTGTTACAGATTTTTTTCATCTCATTGATGTTAAGTTGCTCTGTTTTATTTTTCTCCATCTCCATGTTTTAAAATATGGTCATAACTTGATATTTGAAATGACATAAATATTTCTATATACCTTGCTGAAAGTGATTCTGTAGTTTCATTGAATTTTTATAACCAGAAGTGTGGGCCTTGTAATGTGATCTTGTGTCTCCAGTGGTAACATTTGAAAAATTAGGAGTTATTTGGTAGAAGATATGCCTCATGACAATTTCTGAGTGAGGAAGATGATGTTATCATGAGCAGATATTAAATACGTGATCTGCAGGAAAGATGGGGAGTTGTGCTACCTACAATTCTTCCGTAGTATTATCTTTACGGAGGATACAAAGTATGTATTTTGCGAGTTAAACACAAAGAGAAAAAACTGAAGATACTTTTGAAAATTTTATCCTTTTTAATGGTAAAAGAGCAGTGATACAAGTAAGTGTATAAGACAATGATTTAAATAATTCAATAAAAGGTTTATTTAAACGCATAATGAATTCGAAGTGTTTAATATTTCACGTGTTACCGTACTTATTAATTAAGAAAACCGCCATTGCGGGAACAGCCTTTCATTTGTCAACAATTGGTCTTGACCGCGCATGTCTATTCCGTGGTTTCTGTGCCAACACGCTTTGCGCTTGTAGCCAATGCCAAAGCAGCTCTGTTTTTCGAGGAAATTGAATACCGTCATCGCTAGCCAATGGGAGAGCTTATCCGTGACGTTATGTTTAAAAATAGATTCTATGAGTCAGAACATATAAGCTGAAATGTTACCGCCGAGAGCTCAGACGGTCGCGGAGAGTCCGAGCGGACGGTTGTGTTAGGTGTGACGTGTGGAGGTGATTATCGATCGCGTGTACGCAGTTGTACGAGAGGACGCTTGTTTTGGCAGCGCTGTTGTGTACGGGATTTAGATGGTACGCAACTGCGCAACATCGAAGATGGAAACGACGTTCTATGATGAATCGTTCAACCAGCGATTGACGAGCGACGTGAATCAGCTGAAACGCAGTATGACATTAGATTTAAACCAAGCACGCAATATTGTGAAACGGCCGAAGTATAACGCGGCCGTGACGGGTGCGCCAGTCTTATCGTCGCCCGATTTAAACAAATTGAAGTTGGGCTCGCCCGAGCTGGAAAAATTCATCTTTGCCCAGCAGAGCGGCATAATGACGCCCACTCCCACTCAAATCCTGTTTCCGCGCACCGTGACGGAGGAGCAAGAAATCTACGCCCGCGGCTTCGTCGACGCCCTCAACGAGCTGCACACGAACGAGTCAAGCCAGCTGAGCTCGGGCGGGCTGCAGCCCGTAGAGGCCGGTCCGGGCGGGGCCCCGGGCGCGGGCGCCGCCCCGTCCACGGCAGTTACCTACACCACGTTGGAGCCGCACGCGTCAGTGGGTGGGGCCGTCATCAGCCAGGCGTCGTCCTTCCCCGCCAGCTACAGCCTGCTACAGCAACCCGAGCAGGCCGTAGTGGTGAAGGACGAACCACAGACGGTGCCTAGCCTAGGCAGCACCCCGCCCCTGTCGCCCATCACATGGCAGTGCCAGGAGAAGATCAAACTGGGCCGGAAGCTGGTGCAGCGAGAACGCTATCCCGCCTCAAAAGCTACCTGTCGGAAGGAAGCTGCGAGCGGATTTTCGCGCCTCCGAGGGACAAAGTGAAGCTGCTCAAAGGCGAGAAACTCGGAGCATGTGGTAGCGGTGGTGCACAAACTGAAGGAACAGGTATGCCAGCTGAAGGAAGCAGGTGATGGACCACGTGACATAGCGGCTGCCAGATCATGATGTCTGCACAATTCTGAGGCGGCAAGCGCCCTTTGGGCGCTGATTTCCTGTACGGTGCGTCAGCGGGCGGACGCGTGCGCGACGCGCGGGCGGCGCGGCGGGGCAGCGGCGGCGCGGCGCGGCGCAGCCGCAGCGCCGGTCGCGGCGAGGTTCGGCACGGCGCAGGCGGTGGCGGCGCCGAGGCTGGCCCCGCCACGCGCAGCGGCTCGGGGCGGCGCGCCCAAGCGGGGCGACGGCGTGAGAGGCCCGGCGGCCGCGGACTCTAGTGCTAAGTCCAAGAGCATTCCTAGTTTCAGATACGGTGACAGTTTTTGACCATATCTGAGGTTTATTTTTTGCGAAAGTTTCCTTGTTTGAGGCAGGTACATCTAGTCACAGCCGGGAGAAACTCCCGGGCTGGTAGCTTGGACTGTACGCAGAATGCAGGGCAGTTAGCAGTTGTAAATACAGCGGATATTTATATTTGGAAGACATTTTCCGTTCTGCAATGTGCCTTTCTATTAAAAAATCATTCGTTTTTTGTTTTATCTGCTGTCAGAAACCTCATTCTCCAGAACAAGCGATTAATCAGCTTTTTGTATGTGAATGTCCTTTTCTACTTGAACTATGATCTATGATAAACTTGTGTTATGTGAACACATGCATATACATATGAGATCTTTTTTATGAATTTTATTTTTGAGTAAATAAAAATATTTCATTGAAACTGTTTGTTTACATTATTTCTCCCTTGTCTGATACATTTCTTTACCTCTATCCTGCAATATCTTTGGTTTGATAATTCTAAGTTAAGTAATGTTATTAAATTTGCTAGTGCAATGAAATTGAAAATGTACGTGGATATATTTTATAATGGACCATGTACAGACGATTCTTGCAGTTAACTGCTCATGGATCGTGACGTTTTGGTGGACAAAAAAGTGTTGGGTTTTGATAGTTTTACTAATGCTTAGCTTTAATTAGCCAACTGTACGTCGTGTTCATGGCGAGGGCCTCCTGCTCGCGCAAGGGAATTATTAATACTTCTTTAATAAATTATGGGGGTGAAGGGACAATAACAAATGCATCCATGCCAGAGGATTTCGAACCCCTAATCGCCACGACACTACTGCCTTTGCTGGGCTCCGGATCGACTTTTTTTTAAAATTAAAATGAGTAATTTCTCGTGGTAAATTTTCCAATGTTTGGCAAGAGTTGGCTATTCCAAGTGAAGTTCTTACGAAAATTTAGAAAACCAAAGGCTATTTACTCTAGAAATTATTTTGAGTTACGGACTACCCCCGTTTATTCCATAGGTTGTTTTTAAATTTACGTTTTGCAATTTTTAATTTCTTCCTAAGGTGCCCTTGCAGCTATGTTATGTAGCCCAAATGGCTTTGGTGGACAAAACGTCCTTTTTGTGGCACAATTTACGGAGTAAACAGCACTAATTGATGAAATTCGATTGTTCTTAATTCGAAAGGATTATTTATAATATAAATCAGTCACTTAAAATTATTCCAAAGGCTCTGTACTTGCTTTGTTGCCGCTTGCCCTTGGTGTCAATGGCAGGCCGGATATCGTGGACAAAGGCCCGCCCCTCCCACCC